GGTTGTTTCCACCTTATAGCCATTGTGAAGAGTGCTGCAGTGAACTTGAATGTATAGGTTTCTGTTTACATTCCTGCTTTCATTTATTTGGGACTATATGCCTAGGATTGGAATTGCTGGGTCATATGTTAGTTTGGGAAAATTAACTTTTTAAAGTTATATTCTATATGAGACCCATAAGGTGCATAGTCATGAATACATTATTTTCATCTTAGAATTGAGAATTAGAATTGGAAAATGGGTTTGTAGCCCTATTAGCCATTATTTAATTTACTATAATTATTGAAATTAGTGTTTATGTTTTTTAATCCACATAAATTCTGCTTATTGAGATTATTTTTGCCTTCATCAGCTAATTTATCTACCTGGACTTTTAATACCCTAGAAAGGTGGTAATGGAAAGATAAAGGAAAAAAAGAAAAAAAGAAAAAAAAAAAAAACTCTAACCTTGATTAGTAACCAAGGGAATGTCAGTTGAAATGAGGAAGACTGGTGATTTACTGATCAAATTGGGAATAATTTTCAAGTTTGATTATCAGTGTTGCTGAGAATTTGAGGAAACAGTTACTGTTACAAGGCAGTTTAGCATTGTGGTTCAAAGCACAGACACGGAAATTAATCAGAGTTTGAATCTTGGCTGTGCCCCATAGCAGTGATCTTGGGCAGTACATAGTCTTTCTTTGTCTCAGGTTCCTTGTTTATAAAATTGTACTTATCTCACCAAACCAAACCAAACTCAAACTCACTGCCATCGAATCGATTCCAACTCATAGTGACTCTTCTTTGAGTTTCCAAGGTGGTATCTCTAAAGAAGTAGATTCCCAGTCTTCCTTCCAAGGAGTGGCTGGTAGGTTTGAACCACCAGCCTTCTGGTTAGTAGTCAAATGCCTTAGGCACTACACCACCAGAGCTCACAGGGGTGGTTTAAAGAATGAATTAGTTACTATATATATAATACTTAAGAAAGCATAGAGCATATAACCCTGGTGGTGTGGTGGTTAAGGCGCTTGGTTGACAACCAAAAGATCAGTGGTTCAAACCCACCAGCCACTACTTGGTTACCACATGTCAGTGTTCCTGATTCTTCTCAGATTTTCTTGTTGTCTTAGGGATAGGCCAGAATTTTTCATTTCATTTGGCTTTTTTAAAATAAAGTATAAATATACCTTTAATTTCTATTTCTAATATACCAAAAAAAAACAAACTCACTGCCGTCAGGTCGGATAGGACTCATGGTGACCCCTCTGTGGGTTTCCCAGGCAATATCGCTACAGAAGTAGACTGCCCTGCCTTCCAAGGAGTAACTAGTGGGTTTGAACCGCCAGCCTTCTGGTTAGCAGTCATATACCTTAGGCACTGTTCCTGGTGGCATAGTGCCTCAGGTGTTTGACTGCTAACCAGAAGGCTGGCAGTTCAAACCCACCAGCCACTCCTTAGAAGGAGGACTGGGCAATCTACTTCCATAGAGATACTGTCTTGGAAACCCAAGGAGAGGTCGCTGTAAGTTGAATTGACTCAACGGCAGTGAATTTGATATGGTTTGGTTCATATAACTTAAGACTTTCACATTGCATCTTTGCAGAGAATTATAGATAGGGTGGAGAGCTCAAGTGTGTTGCAGTGGTTAAGGCATCCAGCTGTTAACCAAAAGGTCAGAAGTTCAAACCCACCAGCTGCTCCAGGTAAGAAAGATGAAGCAGTCTGTTTCCATAAAGATTTACATCCTTGGACGATTCCACTAGGAGTTGGAATCGACTCAGTGGCAGTGGGTTTGAAGAAGGAAGGAGCCCTGGTGACACAGTAGTTAAATGCTTGGCTGCTAACCAAAAGGTAAGAAGTTCAAACTCCACAGGAAAAACATGTGGCAGTCTGCTTCTGCAGATTTCAACCTTGGGAAGTCTAACTAAGGGCAGTTTAGAACTTGGAGTAGTTCTACTCTATCCTATGTGGTCCCTATTAGTTGAAATTAACTCAGTGGCAACAAGTTGTTTTGTTTGTTTTGTTTTAAAGAATGTGGTGTCACAAGGGTAGGACTATTAAAGGATTCCTGTATTTTTTTCATTTCAAAGGTTTGATCTGTTGAGGTCTATTGGAACACACACAAAAAAAAACAGAAGGATAATATGCATTTCACTGTTCAGAACTCATCATTTTCAGGTAGTTTAATGTGGGCTTTGTTATTTTTGCAGACTTTCCTTAAAAGAAAAAAAAAAACTCACTGCCATCGAGTTGGTTCAACTCATAGCAACCCCTCCTTGGGTTGCCAAGGCAGTAGCTCTATAGAAGTAGATTGCCCAGTCTTCCTTTCTTCTGGTTAGCAGTCAAATGCCTTAGGCACTATGCCACCACAGCTCCCATTTTATCTAATTACGTTCCCTTTTATATTCTTACAAATAGAAAAATTATTTCTACAGTCCTTTATACTTTATTGGTTGTGGTAAGATATACATAACTAAATTTGTATTTTAAATCATTTTTCAATGTACATTCAGTGGTGTTAGTTATATTAACAGTATTGTACAACCATCCCCACTATTTTCTCCAGACTTTTTCATCACTGCAAACAGAAACTCTGTGCCCATTAAACAATAACTCTCCATTACTTCCTGCCTCCAACCCATGGTAACTACTTATCTACTTTCTGTCTCTCTGCATTTATCTAGTCTACATATTTCAAAGAAGTGGGATCATGCAATATTTGTCCTTTTGTATCTAACTTACTTAGCATAGTATTTTCAAGGTTTATCAATGTGGTAGGATATATTAGAACATCATTCCTTTTATTGGTTGAATAATTCTTCATTTTATATACATGTGTGTGTGTATGTATATGTATATATATGTATATATATATATAGAGAGAGAGAGAGAGACAGCACCTGTACCATTCTATATTTCTACCAGCAGTGCATGAGGGTATCTATACTACACATGCTTGCCAACACTTGCTATTTTTCCATTTTTTTAAACAATAGCCATCCATTGTTGTTGTTGTTAGTCACCCTTGAGTTGATTCCAACTCACAGTGACCCCATGTGTGTAGAGCAGAACTGCTGTATAGAGTTTTCAAGGCTGTGACCCTTCTGAAGCAGATCACCAGTCCTTACTTCTGAAGCATCTGTGGGTGGGTTTGAACTACCAACCTTTTGGTTAGTAATCTAGTGCTTTACCATTTGCCAGTAGCCATCCTAGTGAGTGTGAAGTGGTACCTTATAGTGGTTTGGATTTTGTGATTCTGTAATGTTCATATTGTCTATTTGTATATCTTTGGAGAAAGATCTGTTAAGTCCTTTGCTCATTTTGATTGGACTTTTTTTGTTGTTGAGTTGTAGGAGTTCCTAATGTATTCTATATATTAAACTTTTATCAGATATATGATTTCCAAATATTTTCTCCAATTCTGTAGGGTTTTTGTTTTTGTTTTTTTTCCACTTTCAGTAATGTCTTTTGATGAACAATTTTATACTTTTAAATAGACCATCTATTTGAGTCAAGTGAGGTCTCCTTTTGCAAATTTTAACTTTTCTATTTAATGTTTAAATTTTAACATTTATGTTTTTAGGTTTATTATAAACCTTCATAATGTTTTGAAGTTAAGTAAAAAGCAAATTTCTATTTATATTCTAACTTTTAGATCCTAAAACTACATCAAAGATTCATATACAGAAAATTACAAAAGTAAATGTGATATTTACCTGAATTGTAGCTTCTCATTTAATTGTAACTTGAAGAATCTTTAGCTCACAGTGATAAAATCCATGATCTTCTCATCTTAAACTCATGTTATTCATTCACTAATTCAGTCAACACATATTTATTGCTAAACACTATTCCAGTAGCTACGATACAGCAGTGATTAAAACAAAAACTTCCTGCCCTCAGGAAGCTTACATTCCAATGGGAGAGGTTTCATATGTACAGCATGACAGATAATACATGCTATGGAAATACAAGTGCCAGAAGGGGCTGCTGTTATTTATGGGGTCATCTGAGAAGTAGCATATTTGAGCTGACACCTGAAGACAGTGTGGGAGAGGAGAACCCTATGGGTATCTTCAGAAAGAACATTCCAGGGAGAGGAAGGAACAAGTGCCAAAACCCCTGAAGTGAGAGTGAAGAGTATTTGAGGAAGAGAAAAAGCCTGACTGCTGGTATGGAATGGGAATGGGAAAGAGTGGAGATGACCAGAAAGGTAGCAGAGAGGGTTAAAACCACAGGAGCCACAGGGCAGCAGAGAAGACAAATTGGTATGGCAGTGCTATTTGGAAAACTGTACTTTATCTAAACCCCCATATCTCTTGGCCAATGAAGCATTTTATAGCATGTTGATCACCTAAGTAATTTTTCTTAAAACTCAGCAGCCAGAATGGCACAGTTATCGATCTTATTTTAGATTCATATATAAAATCAAACAAGAGTTTATGGAGTATGCAATTGAGGCCCCACTATCAGAATTTCTGTCATTTCTGTTCACTGATATTGTCTGTGTTCTTGGGGAGATGTACTCTCCCTTTTTAAAAGCTATTTGCAAGACTGGAAACATCAGACCTTGTTCAGAGAATGTGTGGGGGGAGAGAGAATGGATAAATGAATGAATCAATCAGTTGCCAGTGGAGGTACTGAGGTGCTAAGAGGGAGGAGCATATTATGAGAGAAACACTGTAGTGTATTTAAAGTTCTAAAGTGTTTACAAAATATTCTGCTTTGAGAGGCAGAAATAGAAGGAGTAGACTTGTCACTAACATAAATAGAGAAAACAAGTACTTTTAAAAGTGCTAAGTACTCTCATTTGTTAAGAACAGTACATGAATGAGTAGCAAAAAGTTCTGTTTTCAGGAGGTGCTTCAGGACCCCTAAAAGTGGCTGGCAGGCTGGCTGTCTACTATGGCCCCCCAACACACATATTTATAATTATGTTGGCCATACACATGGATATACATAGATAAAGTTAGAGTGGTTACATATGGTTCTATATATTGAGATAATTATTGCTGTTACAGGCCAACAGATGACAGCAACCAGCCTCCAGGCCGGGGTGTTCTCTCCATGCATGGGCTAACCTATGGTGTCATCCGGGTGGACTCAGAAGAGAAGCTGTCTGTCCTCACTGTACAGGATGTTGGCCTGGTGATGCCTGGAGGTAAGTACTGACCTGAGGAAGGTAGTTGGGAAACAGACAAGGAAGAATCACTTTTCACATGGAAGTGTTTGAAGTCAGGTATCAGTTTAATGTCTTAATAGATTAATCAACTATTAGATACACCAAGATTTTTTTTCTGTGTCCAGTCCTCTAATAGGCTCTCTGATTGAATGTTTAATTTCCACTTTAGATATGTCATTCTTTTCTTCTAACGCATTCATTAAGCTTCATAAGCTTAAAGTAATACTGCCTGTCAATGAAAATAGAACCCAAAATCTGCAAGAATTTCCTAATGGGTAGGGCATCTATGCCATTTTGTACAACTTTGGCTCCAGAAACCTCTTCCCTGGGGAAGCAGCATTGAATAGCTCTTCCCCTCATCCTGGCAGTCTGAAGAGCTTCTCCTCCTTTAACTTGGAAGGAACAGGTTTTAACATATCCAGCCGAAGCTGCAACACTCAAGCAAGACTTTGCTAAAGCACTTAAGTCTCTTAACAAATGTATCTGACAGATTTTTTTTAAAAAAAAACTATATGCATGTGTGTATGTATGTATATATGCAGGAGCTCTGGTAGTATAGTGCCTAAGGCATTTGACTGCTATCCAGAAGGCTGGCAGTTCAAATCCACTAGCCACTCCTCGGAAGAAAGATTGGGCAATCTATTTCCGTAGTGATATTGCCTCGGAAACCCAAGGAGGGGTCGCTATGAGTCTGATCAGACTTGATGGCAGTGGAGATATATATATGCAGGCCTATGAGGTGAAAAATTATATCAGGTAGATAAACTCCTTAAAACAGTCAACCATGGCAGATTAAAAAGGCAGCATTTGTGCAGGGAGACAGTTCAGAGGGCAGGACTGCATAGCAAAGAAGGACACAGGGAAAAGGTAACCACAGAGAGGAAGTAGGAAGAAAGAGATTACATTTTGGGCATTGCAGTTAGTCTCACAAAACAAAATGTGTATAAACTGTTGAATGGAAAACAAGTTTGCTCTGTAAACTTTCATCTAAATCACATTACCCCTCCAAACACACAGAAAGTATATGAAAACCAAGTAATGTGAATCTAGATAATTGTTTAAAAATTTAATTTAAAAAAAATAAGTTTTTCAAAAACTCTTTTTAAACCCCTTTTTAAAAAGTCACAGAAACCCACCTTTACAAAATACATAAGGAGAACTACCCTTGGTTAGGGGCTCTGTCTTGTCGTACACTGCCCGATTCTCCAACCTCCTACACTGTGTACTTCAGTCACCACAGTAGGGCCATAGGGCTCCATGAAGTGCTGTTTAAAAACTACTGTTTTAGCTTAAAGATCCATCCTACTTTCTTACACAATGACTGTACTTGGTTCCTGTCTTTCCATATATTTAAAAAATGTTCCTTACCATCTAATTCTGAAATGCAGACAAATTCCCTTGCTCCGTCCAGGTTTTCCTCACTTGGAATTGTCTTCTCCTGATGTTCTTATCCATATAGCAAGACAGTCATATCAATACACACACACACACACACACACATACACACACAAATCCAGCAACTATACCTGTGAGACACACTGGGTGGAAACGAGAGAGTTACTTCCTTAGAGTCAGTTTGTGCGTGTTTCTTGGGGAAGCAACAAATTAAGGTTTTATAGGATCTTAATAAGGAGCATGTGATAAAAACAAGAGTATGTCTAACCATGTGTGGAGCAGAAAGTGCTGTTCAAATTATGGAAAATCTCACTGTCCTTTATAGTGATGTCACAGTGTGACTATGAGCCTTCCCCTGGAATTATTTTGCCTTTCTGCTTGCCCTGTTTGAGATGTAAAAGAAATAAAGCCAGACGTTGACATTCCTAATTCTCAGTGTGCCTCTAATTCTAAAGTTCCTACAAAGAGTGTTTCTGTTCTTCCTTAGACCCCTGAAAACTGTCTCCTCAATGTCATAGCACCTTTACATGTACCTTCCAATTCTCCCCAAATTTTCCATCTTTTACAGCCTTAGCTAAACCTCTCGGCTCTATTTCTTTCTTTCTTTTTTGAAAGAGTTATTTTTCAAATAAATAATTGATCCATATAGTTCAAAATGCAAAAAGTTCAGAAGGTTATGCAGTGAAAAATCTCATTTCCAACCACTAGAGTCAACTAGAAACATCCCATGTTTCCTTTAAAAAATATTTTGGAATTATATAAATAAATATGCACATGTACACCCACATACATATGTGTGTGAATGCATTACTTTTTATTGTTTTTTGGTTTTTTATTTAACATAATGGTAGTGTACCAAATATATCTTCATGTCTTCTGTCTTGAAGCTCATTTGTTAGCAGTAGATAAAGATTTTACTCATTCTTATTCTGACTCATAGCGACCCCTCCTTGGGTTTCCAACATGGTATCTCTATGGAAGTAGATTGCCCAGACTTCCTTGCGAGGAGTGGCTGGTGGGTTTGAACCACCAGCCTTCTGGTTAGCAGTCAAATGCCTTAGCCAGTACACCACCAGAGCTCCTTATTTATTTATTTTTTTTTTTTGGAGTTTTTAATAGTGTTAAAATACGTAATAGTTTTTGTAAGCAGTCCCCGTTTGGATTATTTCCAGTTTTTACTATTAAGCAGTGCTGCAGTGAATATTATTATCTGTATTTTGCTCTGCATATGTGTAAGAATTATCTTATGAAGACTATGATGGGATTTCTGTTTCAAGGGGAAGATGCCCATGAAATTATGATAGACTGCATTACGTTGTCATTCAAAGAATTTATACTTCAATGAGTACTGGATGAAAGTACCTCTTTTTCTATTCCCTGCCCTAATTGTATTTCAGACTTTTTTACTTTACCAGTCTGATGGGTAAAGAATATTTCCATGCAGTTTTACTTTGAAGTTTTTTTACTGATAATGAGATTGGGCACTATTGCATGTTTTAACTGGTTTTATTTCTTAGACACTATACTTTTTTTTTTTTTTTTTTT